AAAAAAACATTTAGACAGCAAAATATATCCTGAGGCTTAAAAGCACAGAGCCACACATCAGATAATGAAGAAGTTTTTAAAAGTCGTTTTCCCCCATCTCAGTGATTGTATCACTTGATTCTTTTTGGACAATGAAATAATTGAACTTGGCACAGCTGTGCTTAGGGCTCTGAACTGCAGTCCTGATGAGAAAGAGAGAGAGAGAGAGAAATGGAGATAGAGACAGAGATAGAGACTGATGTCTCTTGTCTTACTGATGGCAGGAACTTCGTATCGCGCGTAGGATCTGGTAGTACATGCTCATGTTTCCAGCAGCCCCAGTCCTCTTTGTGTCAGTTCTCCTTTAGGTCATGTGTGTCCAGGCCCAATCATATTCCCACTTTGAAGCTGCCTCCTGACTTCCTGGTCCTTTCTGGGAGTGATCCAGGCTCTCTATGGCTGGTTACTGCTTTCTCCATGCACAGGGAAGGACACGGGCCCCTCTGTCTCTCTCAAAGAACCAGTCTGAGATTTAACAGCTCAGCGAGACCTACTCTTGCTGTCCTGTAGAAAGTGACAATTTCCCATTTCAGATGTTACTTGTTCTAATTCTGGTTAGCTCCAGGCTCCTAAATCCTTAAAATGATTTTTTGCAATTTTTCAAAGAATCATTATCCACAGTTTTCCTAAGTGCTCTCCAACAGAACACTGTTTTCACCATAGGTGTCCTCTCAACACACATCAAATGGAGACCTCCAAGCCTATACATTGCCATCTTTTGGCAGCGCCAGACTCTATATGTGGGCCCCAGTTGTAGGGACAGGACAGCAGGTCAGGACGAGGGCCAAAACATTCAGGAGTCTGGGAGGTAGGAAGACTTATTTGTTGATTCTTCAGTTCAATTCATTAATGACAGATTTATTTCATTTTTAGCACACCTCCGTCAGCAAGATCTGAAATGCGTGCTGGTGACAAGGTTGTTAATGTAGCAATAGTAACAATTTTGACAGAAACCACAAATGAAAATGAGACGAGTGTGGCTAATATAATTGATAAAGCAATTAGAAATAACCCAAGAAACATTAAAGGCTATAGTTGTAAGTATTGTATAATTTTATTCAAAGTTTTTTGTAAGCTTTTTCATTCTATGTGAAAAGGGGCCAAGAACTACATTATTGAACTGACAAATGTCTCCAAATTTCCTTTTAACCAATTCTTCTTCTCTTTACCTGCTCACTTGCCATCTGCTTTTTTCCAACCATCTCCCGAGTCATCAAACTGGCCAGGGTGTTCCTCTCTAGGAAGGTATAAATGACCAGACATATCACTGCTGGCCAGGGAAAGAGAAAGGAGAAACAAGAGGGCTTTGTACCAAGTTAGAGCTTTACAGATGATTACATAAAGTTTTATCCTTGGCTGGGCCCGGTGGCTCACTGCTATAACCCCAGCACTTTGGAAGGCTAAGATGGGCAGATTCTTTGATAGGAGGAGTTTGAGACCAGCCTGGGCAACATGGCAAAACCCTGTCTCTACAAAAAATACAAAAAATTAGCTGGGTGTAGTGGTGCAGGTCTGTGGTCTCAGCTACTTCGGAGACTGAGTTGGGAGCATTGCTTGGGTCCAGGAGGTTGGGACTGCAGTCAGCTGAGATCACGACACCACACTGCAGCCTAGGTGATAGAGCAAGACTGAGCTTTACCTGTACTATTTTCCCCTTTAGACTGACACACAAGCCCACCATGTAGCTGTAGCAGTTTGCGTTTGCTGTGTTACAACGGTAGTGGCCTAAACCAACCACCATTTACTTATTGCAACCCTAGAATTCTATGGGTCTGAATTTGGGCTGGGCTCAACTGGATAGTCTGCTGATCTGGGCAAGGCTTCATTGATCTATGCTGGGCTCACTGAAGTATCTGCCATCAGCTGCCGGGTCAGCTAAATTGTTTGTCTCTGCTCCACATAGTCTCTTATCCTTACCAGACCCGTCCAGAGGATTTCAACAGCAGCAAGAGGACTTCCTGGTCCTTTCAGGGAGTGAACAGGCTCTCTACGGCTGGTTACTGCTTTCTCCATGCACAGGGAGGGACCTGCGCCCCTCTGTCTCTCTCAAAGAACCAGTCTGAGATTTAACAGCTCAGCGAGACCTACTCTTGCTGTCCTGTAGAAAGTGACAATTTCCCATTTCAAGTTTCCCACTACTTGTTCTAATTCTGGTTAGCTCCAGGCTCCTAGATTCGATGCACAAGTGTTTCTCAAGTCTCTGCTTGCATCACGGTTATAACTGTCCAGCTGGCTAAAGCAATTCACCTGACCAAGCACAGCGTGGAAGGGCCGTGCAGAAGGGCTACAGAAAGGTGTGAATAAATTGCTGTCATGACTGCAGTCAACCCACCACAGCAGTCACCAGAAGTTCCTCACCCCAGAAGCAACCCATTGCGGCCAGTCCCAGGAAGAGGTGTTTACAGCTGGTTCTCAGTCCTGGCTGCCAAATCCAGAATCCTCTGCTGAGCCACAACTTATTTGACTTTTCTATAGTATTTGACACCAGTATCCTTCCCTTCTTGATATTACCTTCTTCCTGGGCCCCCATCTATCATTCTCCTAATCACCTTCCTGCCTCCCTCACCCTTCTTTTTGCTCCTTCTAAGACTCCTTTTTTCATCTCTTAAATGTTTCTTTTTTTTCTTTCTTTTTAGACAGGGTCTCATGCTGTTGCCCAGGCTGGAGTGCAGTGTGGTGATCTCGGCTCACCACAAATTCCAGCTCCCGGGTTCAAGCAATTCTCTTGCCTCAGCCTCCCAAGTAGTTGGAATTATAGGCTTGCACCACCATACCTGGCTAATTTTTGTATTTTTAGTAGAGACAGTTTTTGCCATTTTGCCTGGGCTGGTATTGAACTCCTGGTCTCAGGTGATCTGCTCACCTTGTCCTCCCAAAGTGCTGGGATTACAGGTGTGAGCCACCATGCCTGGCCAGAAAATACTTCTTCCTGTTCTTCAGCTTCAATGTCACAAATAAATTGTTTTCTCTGTCCCAAATTGAAGAATCTCTTGCTCTACGCTTTTAAGTAGAGGTATTTGCATATGGCAGGAGGATGGAGGCTGAGTTACAGTTTGGGATGTTTATTAGAGAGGAGCCATATGACTCTACCTACTCCTATTCTTTCCCCATAATCCATTCTCAGACTCATCTCCCCCCGCCTTACCTCCCACCCTTCACCCCCCACCCTCCATGCCCCAGCGATGGAATCTTGCTCTGTCACCCAGAGCTGCAGTGCAATGGTGCGATCTTGGCTCATGCAACCTCCGCCTCCTGGGTTCAAGCAGTTCTCCTGCCTCAGCCTCCCGAGTAGCTGGGACTACAGGCACGCATCACCATGCCCAGCTAATTTTTGTATTTTTAGTAGAGACAGTGTTTGACCATGTTGGCCAGGCTCGTCTCAAACTCCTGACTTATGATCCACCCTCCTTGGCCTCCCAAAGTGCTAAGATTACAGAAGTAAGCAACCACGCCCAGCCCAGATTCATCTTTTAACCCTAATGCCTTCCAATCCATTTTTATTTCTTTATTTACTTTTATTTATATTTTGATACAAGGTCTCACTGTTGCTAAGGTTGGAGTGCAGTGGCGCGATCATGGCTCACTGTAACCTTGAACTTCTGGGCTCAAGTGATCCTCCCACTCCAGCCTCCTGAGTAGCTGGGACTACAGAACTTGCCACCATGCCCAGCTAACTTTTAAATTTTTTGTAGAGATGGGGTTTCACTGTGTTGCCCAGGCTGGTCTTGAACCCCTGGGCTCCAACGATCCTCCTGCCTAGGCCTTCTGAAGTGCTGGGATTACAGTGAGCCACTACACCTGGCCCCAAAACTTATTAAAAGGCAAAGTATAATAGCAACAAGGTGGGGTAATTTGCACAAATTAGTTTATCCATATTGTTACGCTAACTATTTTTTTAAATAATTTGTGCTACTCAGTGGTCCTTCGGTGTGATTATTACGGTTGTAATGAGGACGGGAATGGATGCATCAATAGTTTAGCATGTGAATGCAAATCTGACCTGATAAGGCCTAACCCACAGAGCACTTTCTGTGTTGGTAAGTGTTTCACCTGCTTCTAATCTTCTTCACAACTCCCACTTTCTCTCCTTTTGCAACGTACAAAATTCACTGCTTGTTTCCACATTCATTTCAGAGTCCAAGTGATACAACTTTAGACATACAGACCAAGGCTGGGACCTTGGCTAACCCAGGTCAGCTTCACAGGGGGCACATCAACAAGCATCTCATTTACCTAGAAAAAGCAATGTGAAAAACACTGTCATGTCGTCACATGTGACTTTGGGGTTAAAGAGATTGTTTCTGAAAATTACCAAGAGATCATTCTGTTTTGAAGCTTCCAGTCTAAAGTGTCCTGATACCTGCAACGCAGAGCACAAGCAATGCTTAGTAAAGAAGACCGGCGCAGACCCTGAGTGTGTGTGCGTGCCTGGCTACCAGGAAGATGCTAATGGGAACTGCCAAAAGTAAGAAAAGTCACTTTGTGTTTGTCTCGCCATAGCTGGAGCTAGGCAAAGAAGATAGGCCTTGCAACACATACCTGTATACAGGTGTTGAGTCAGGAAGTTGGTAAGGTGGCATAGGTTGGTAGAGACAGAGCATCATCATGATGATGATCATCATCATCATTTTCGAGCATTCTCTATGCTCCAGGAGACACACTAGGTAATACCTGTCACATAGCAACACCGTTTGGAATGTCTTAGCTTCCCATTTTCAAGTGATGAAACTGAGCTGAAAGGAAATAGCCCCCAGCTCACAGGACAGAAAATAAGGGGCAGAGCCATGTGGCACCACAGCCTGAGAGGGTTCCACTACCCTCCATGCCTCTTGGGTTCAGCTTTGCCTGAACTGCAGAATCTTCCTGGAGCACGGAAGATGGAGTGTTCAGTCAGTAGTAAATGAGCCTACATGGAATTGAGTACCCCCCCTTACCCTTCCAGGATCCCGTGGAAGGTGATCTCCTGGAAGAATGAGGGTGTAAGGAAGGCAAAAGAAAGGGGAAAGGAAGCAAGGAAGGACAGAATGAAAGGAAGGTGGAAAGGAAGATGTGGAGACTGGGGTGGGAACTCTGACATGCTCCCCGCAGGGGCTCTTTAACACTGTTTCCTTTCGCTCACGGTATTTCAGGTGTGCATTTGGCTACAGTGGACTCAACTGTGAGGACAGTGAGTATGAAAGTCTTGCTATTATAAACAAGTTATTAAGCATCTGAGAAATCAATAGTGACCACATTCTACATCCTGCCCAGTCCTTCGAAGTCTCTGTCCTGTTTCATAAAGAGAGAAACTATCTGCCTCCAGTTGGTCTTCTGGGTCCTGCCCTGCCATGCCCACCCTTAGGTTATGGACAGCAGCCCCTCTGCCACAGAAAATAACAGAATTCAGCCCAGGAGGGGGCTGGTGCCTCTGGACTTGCTTGAGACAAGAGAAGGGAGTCGTAGCATTATGTTGATTTCCTACATTAGCTTACATATGTGTTCTCTGTTGCTACTAGGGATAAAAGACAAGCACATTTCAAAGATTCTGGTGGTTATGGAAGAGCAGACCTAGAAAACAGACGTTTAAATACTCAAATCCTTTTGTTTCAGAGCTATTTACTGGTTTGGGATATTTTGCTGCAAATTCAAATTCTGTTCCCTCCCATGCTCCACCCCCACCAGATGAAGAAATACTAACTTTAGATTTTCAATTATTTTATATTTTAAAATCTACATAATGAACTAAAGATCAGTGATCCAAGATGAAGGAAATATTACTGTCAGCCTTCCTGCCAGCCATGAAGATAGTGATGGGTGACATTCTCCTGTATTTCTACATTTCTACTGTATTTTATTGCAAGGAATAATTTCCTAAGTCTTCCTTTGGAGTTTTCAGTTTCCACACCTATAAAATGAGAGGTCTGGACCAGACAAACTTCAAGGTCTTTTCCAGACTTGCTAGTCTGGCCCCATGAATCCACGTTAAAGGCGGCATTTGTGGGAGTCACATAGAAGGTCTAGAGCACACAAAGAGGTCTAGAGCAGCATTGCCCAGTAGAAATACTATGTGAGCTACACATTTTATTTGAAATTTTAGAAATTTCAAGTAAATTGCTAAAAGTAAAAAGATGACATTGATTTTAAGAACATATTTTATTTAACCTATATATCCAAAATATTATTTCAACATGGAATCAATAAAAAAAATGATTAACCAATTATTTCACATTTTTTTCACACAAAGTGTTTGCAGTCTGGTGTGTCTGTTACATTGTGTCTCATAGCCGCAGTCACGTGTCAATAGTGCCAGCCAAGGCAGAGTTAGGAGAAGAGAATGGGTGACAATGAATGTCTAGACTCTTCCCTCATTGATATTATCAAGCCATTGGCTGGCTCCTCTAGCAGTGACATTTAACTCCAACCTAATTTCTTTAGCTTATCAGTAAGGCGAGGTATAGAGGGCAGGCAAAGGCAGCAGAGGTAAGGAGGGAGGTGTGGCCCTCGGTTGAGACCCCACTCCCCACCAAGCCCACGAAGATCCTGCCACCATCGGCCTGCTTTGTATTTACAGTCTTTTATCTGGCAAGGCTGCCCTTTCCAAATTCATGCTGAAGACACAGTTTAGGAGGTGTGAGGAGGGGATGCTAAAGGAAATAGGCCATTTACCCAACCTAGCCTGGAGGGTTGGAGACCAGAGCCTGATGGTCCTCACAGCTAGGAGTCCCCGGGAACACACATACCTGTGCAGCAGACAGCTGGACGTCAGCTTGTTGGGGGCTGTTCTTATTTTCTTCTCCCTTTCAGATTTTCAGCTGATCCTCACTATTGTGGGCACCATCGCTGGCATTGTCATTCTCAGCATGATAATTGCATTGATCTTCACAGCAAGGTATGGGAAGAAAGTGTCCTTTTTTAAATTTAATTTTTAAAAACAAACAGCGATGGGGGTTTCACTATGTTGCCCAGGTTGGTCTCAAACTCCTGGACTCAAGCAGTCCTCCCATCTCAGCCCCCAAAAGTGCTGGGATTACAGGCATGTGCCACCACATCCGCCAGAAGTGGCCTTTTCTTGGGACACAACACCACCAGCATGATACTCTCTAGTTTCCAACACACTCATCCTCTCCTGGGCAAGAGAAGGGGGATAAGGGAAGGACTTTCTAATACCACTGACCTTTTCCTTACCTTAATTTTCTTCTTATTATATGAGCTATGCATGATCATGGAAGAAAACTGAGAAAGTAGAGAAGTGGGTAGAGGGCAAAATTTAAAAATCACTCACAAAACCCACCACCTTGAGACAGCATTTTCATCTATAACTTTCCAGATTTATTTCTATCTTTTAAAATATTATTATATATGTAATTTTGTATCTTTCGTATTTTTTAAATTTTAGGTTTTTTTTTTTTTTGGTTTAACACCATAAGATGACATCACAACCATTTCCTTTTGTCATTAAAAACTCTTCGTTAATGTAATAGTATTTTAACTACACTGAAATTGTCAAATACAGTTTTCATCAGATCACCTCCCTGTACAGGACTCTGCTACAAATGGTCTAAAATCAACCTCAACTTAACCCCCTGGGTTTTTAAAAACTTTTTAAATGAAAGGTTATCTCAGCCAGCGATGGTGGTAGCACCCCTATAATCCCAGCTACTCAGGAGGCTGAGGCAGGAGAACCCCTTGAACCCAGGAGGTGGAGGTTGTGGTGAGCCGAGATCGTGCTGCTGCACTCCAGCCTGGGTGACAGGGCAAGACCCTAACACACACACACACACACAGAGGTTATATCTGCATGACTATTTCTTAGCTTGGTGCCTTAAAGTCCCTTCTCTTAGGGAAGGGGCAGTAGAATTCATTCATTCAACAATATTTAGGTAGACTAAATGTCCCCCCATTAACAGGGAAGCAAATGCTGTGATCTCTTTTCCATTCTAAATGTGCCAAGTGGGGATCCACTTTGATTGTTCTTAAAGCTCCTTTTTTCTAACATTTAGTTCATATCTTATATTTTGGCAGAATAGGTATTTTTCCACTTTAATGTGAGAGGATAAATAGATTTTAGGTTCTTAAAATATTTTGTTGGTTTTTTTTTTCTTTTTCTTTTTCTTTTTTTGAGACAGAGTCTTGCTCTGTTACCCAGGCTGGAGTGCAGTGGCATGATCTTGGCTCACTGCAACCTCCACCTGCCAGGTTCAAGCAATTCTCCCGCCTCAGCCTCCCAGGTAGCTGGGACTAGAGGCACGTGCTACCGTGCCTGACTAATTTTTGTATTTTTAATGGAGACAAGGTTTCACCATGTTGGCCAAGCTGGTCTTGAACTCCTGGCCTCAAGTGATCTGTCCACCTCAGCCTCCCAAAGTGCTGGGATTATAGGCATGAGCCACCGTGCCCAGCCTCCTTTCAAGTCTTTGAAATTGTTTTACTCATTTTACCCACTGAGGTGATTCTTAGGTGTTGACTTTGCTTGGATGAAATACTGTATCACAAATCATTCTCTCTCTTTGACCTCTATTTTCATTTCTAGAAATAATTCAAAAGCACACTTAAGAATAATAATATGATAAGCAAAATATGAATGAAGCCAGTGGAATTAGATGGTTATGTTGGATCAGCATTGAAGTCCAGGTTTTGTAGTTACACAGAGCTCATAACCTTAAATTTAGGGAACCTACACTGAATAAAATAATGAAATGTTTTATTTTGTTATTAGTAAGGCATCAAGTCTGCAACTTTCTTTCTTTTTTTTTTGAGACGGAGTTTCTCTCTTGTTGCCCAGGCTGGAGTGCAGTGGCGCGATCTTGGCTCACTGCAACCTCTGCCTCCCAGGTTCAAGCCCTTCTTCTGCCTCAGCCTCCCAAGTAGCTGGAATTACAGACATGCACCACCATGCCTGGCTAATTTTGTATTTTTAGTAGAGACAGGGTTTCTCTGTGTTGGTCAGTCTGGTCTTGAACTCCCAACCTCAGGTGATCCACCTGCCTCAGCCTCCGAAAGTGCTTGGATTATTGGATTACAGGCGTGAGCCACTGTGCCCGGCCAAAACTTATTCTTTGATAAAAAACTGTTAGCGTTCTTTGGTTATGCAACTTATTCTTAATTGGATCAGAAATGTTAACAACTGGGGAATCTGGGTGATGAGGCATGTGAGAGACAATACTATGTGTGTGTGTGTGTGTGTGTGTGTGTGTGTGTGTGTGTGTATTTGGTAACTTACAAATAAATGTAAAATTAGTTCAAAATTTAAAAGTATTTTTAAAAAGAACATTAACGTTTACCTCAAGGAGTTTTCTGCCATTGTCAAATCCTAATTCCTCTTAACTGATTACAGATCAAATAACAAAAAGAAGGATATTGAAACAGAGAACTTGATTGAGGAAGACTTTCAAAATCTACGACTGCAGTCAACAGGCTTCAGCAATCTTGGAGCAGAAGGGAACATCTTTCCTAAGGTCAGGATAACGGCCTCCAAAGACAGCCATATGCACAATCCCTATGCCAGCCACAGCAACGTGCCCCGCCCTGACTATTAGGTGAGTCAGTGCACTTTCCCTTCTGCCTTTGGGAGTGAATGCACCAGGGCAGAGCAGAGACCTGGTTGTTGGATCTTCAATCCTTGGCTGTCCCGCAGGCTTTCTTTTTCTTTTCTTTAATTGAAATAGAGATCAAAAAGGAAGCTTCCTGCTGTTGGAAGTAGCCACCACTTGGTCCCTAACTCTTAGCATCTATGTGACTTTAGACACATCACTTAATTTCTCTGGCCTTCTATTTTCTCATCTGTAAAAAGGGCAGGTTAATTTAGATACCCCTAAGGTCCCTTTAGATTACCAACTTCCATGGATATGTCTCCAGAGATGATGATGATGCTTCTCAGGCTGTTTAAAGGCCTAGGTCCTCAGCCAGGACCAGGAGGGACATCGGATGTAAACATAGTTCTGTGGGATCCTTTTCACCAGACCGTGTGAAGGCAATGCTCTCCTTCCCTCCTGCTTGATCTCAAGGCTACTCAATGTATTTCTTTCTTAGTTCTATTTGTTGTTGTTATTGTTGTTGTTTTGAGACAGGGTCTCACTCTGTCACCCAGACTTCAGCGTAGTGGTACAATCCCTGCTCATTGCAGCCTCAACCTCCTGTGCTCAAGTGATCCTCCCACCTCAGCCTCCCAAGTAGCTGGGACTACAGCCACATACTACCATGCCCGGCTAATTTTGGTACTTTTTGTAGAGACAGGGGTGTCTGCCATGTTGCCTAGGCTGATCTCAAATTCCTGAACTCAAGTGATCCTCCCGCCTCGTCCTCCCAAAGTGCTGGGATTACAGGCATGAGCCACGGCACTGGGCCTCAATCCATTTCTAAAGATATAAAATGGAACTTGGCTTATTGGCTCATCCCCATAACCCTAGCACTTTGGGAGACCAAAGCAGGAGAATCGCTTGAACCCAAGAGTTCAAGACCAGCCTGGGCAAGTAAGGAGAACCCATCTCTACCAAAAAAAAAAAAATTATATATATATATATATATATATATATATATGTGTGTGTGTGTGTGTGTGTGTGTGTATGTGTGTGTGTATACACACATACACACACACACATATATATAGTTTTTTTTTTAAAAAAAGGAGATAAGGCTAGTTAGGCTGGTAATACTATATTTCTCTGGGGAAGACTTTCAAGGACAATAGCTTGTACCCACTGGGTTTGTATTGGATAATCATAGCTGGCACTGCTTAGTGTGATTGAATGAAATGTTGAAAGGAGGAAGCCTGTGAGAGACTTTTGGAAGAAGAATGACAGGCTGAGATGGAAAGAGGGAAGATGGTGAAGGAAGAAGAGAAAGGGGGCTGGGGAAGAGATGGGGAATGGAACAGATGCGAGGAGAGAAATGATAGGGAGAATACAGGAGAAAGCTGAAGAAGACAAATAACATGAATAAAAGTAATGTTAATAATTTACAGGTCTAAATGATCACATATGTTTCTGTTAGAGTATTTTCTAAGAGTATTATCTCTCCCTCTCTCTATCTAGAATCATAAAAATGTGGAACCCACCGTGGCCCCCCACCCACTGTACAAGCTATTATTCTGAGTGTTTAGAAAGACTGATGGAGAAGTGAGTACCAGTAAAGATCTGGCCTCCAGGGTTTTTCTTCCACCTGACATCTGCCAGCCTCTCTGAACGGAAGTTGTGAATGTTTGCAATGAATACAGCTCGCTTGCTAAATAAGAGTCTGTGACATTATATATAGTAGATGCTATTAGCATTTGTCAGATAGGTGGTTTTCTTCAATCAGTACGGAGTAGTGAGACCATGGTTAGGGTTGTTTCTTAAAGTTTTTTACTGGTAGGGGAACAAGAACCATCTCCTATCTGGGGAAAGCTCCCCAGCATTGCTTGCTCCTGGGTGAGCATTGCTGTTGAGTTAAGTGACTTAATTCCCCTGGGAGACATCGCATCAACTTGGAGGTCTGAGGGGATGAGAAGAGATACCTATCATCTTTTAAGGGTCACAGCTTACTCTTTGAAAAGTCAGAATAGGGATACTGCTTCCATCCCTCCAATGGAGGAATTTTGACAACCTTTGAACTGCCCAGAGCTTGCAACCTAGCCTCACCCAAGAAGACAGGAAAGAGATATATCTCTCAGCTTTTTCAGGAGGTGTGACTGGGAATCCAGGAACTTTTTGATGCTAATTAGAAGGCCCGGATTAGAAATGTCCACTACAAGGTACACTCTACAGTTTTTGAAACACTAGGTGGTAGAGAGGA